AGGTCATCAATAAAGATATTGAAGAGGACAGGCCCCAGCACCAACCCCTGGGGAACACCACTCACGAGCCTTTATTTCAGTACAATAAACAGCTGCATAAAAATGGTAAAAAGTCATATTTGGGGCTGAACTTTCGTACCTGCCAGAACTTTGATCAGTGGAAGCTCTAATGTGCAAAATAATTTCCACAAACCTTGAACCTGTAAAGTAAGATACAAATCAGCACCAGTATTAGCAAACCTTATTCTAAAAACCATACGATAGTATCATTATGTAGATCAATTTTTCAGTGAGCAGTATTTCACTTCATGTATCATTTATTTTTATAAAGACAAGGCTGGGTGAAGTATGAAATACTAGTTAGTGTAAATTATAGCATCCAAACACTATATTCAATTATCAAATTGTTTTATAAGGAAAGGTACAGTAATGGAAACTAAGAAATTTGCACACCATTTGTCTACATTATTTTTAGAATAAAGTCCACTGCAATAGAACATTTCTTCATTCTTTTTTCTTATTCACTTGAGCAACTAAGCAACCATTCAAAATTCAATATTTTATTTTCATTAGGAAGATGTAGAAAGGTGGGACTATGTACCCAATTTAGTTGCAAAGAACAGGATGGTTTTTTTCCTCTCACCATTGCAGCAGTCAGACAACAATAGTTCTCTCAGAATTTCTGTGGGCTTGTGGTTGGTGTTGCTGTACCTTAGGTGTTTCTGTTGCCTTCATTCACAGATAGAACAATTGCTGGGCCACTTAAAAAAATCCAGCCTAACGTGGCTCCATCAGCTGCTTTTCTCAACCCTTACACTATATTTTAAATCAGTTTCAAGGAAAGCCTCTGGTGTCTCATTATACAGGACAAGTTTAGATGAGAAGTTAGGAAGAAATTCTCTACCATGAGAGTGGTAGGGGTCTGGAAGAGGTTGGTCAGAGAAGCTGCAGATGCCCTATGTCTGGAAACATTCAAGGCCAGGATGCATGGGGCTTTGGGCAGCTTCATCTAGTGGGAGGTGTCCCTGTCATGTCAGGGAGGTTGAAACTAAGTGATCTTTAAGGTCTCTTCCCAGCTAAACCATTCTATGAAGCTATGCAACTTTCTCCAGAACCTGAGCATATCCCTAAATTTTGAAACCTTTTCAAATATATAACAAGAAAACAAAACAGAACATTAAAAACTCCTAAAAACTCTTGAAATGTATTCTGAACTTCACCAAGGATTAATGCAACATACAGTAGCAGACATGCTAAGTTTTTGTGCTCAACAAAGACAATCTCTAAACGTGTCTACCGAGATAAATAACGACACTGCTTCAACTCTTAAACAGTTTTTGGATTGTTCATATAGCTTTAAAATATAGAATGAAGAAGCACAACTTTTTGATTTTTTCCTGTTCTTAGGATCTTCACCTAAATATTTAACTCTTGTAGAGGAAACTTCTTCAACATTTGCTTTGAGTAAACATTCCATTCTTCTGAAAACAGTGGTAAATTTGATGGACCACTTCATCTTACATGTTGTCTAGTACTATAAATCAGTGAAGTTTGAAACCTTTTATTTTATTTCCATAAGAGATTCTGATTTGAGAAGCACACCACTTTGTGATAACACCTCAGAAATTATTGCTGAGTAACTACTTATCAACTCTTACCTGTAAGTCATGAGCGAGGCCCATCATTATAGTATAAAGTTTTTGCAAATTCATAACCAAGTTTTGATGCTGATAAAAAATAAAAGACTTTTAATATTAGTATTAAAATATTCAGAGCAATATTTTTAAAGTGATTAAGTTATTAAAGTATATTTCCTGCATTTCCCTTTAGTAATGCTAAATACAATAGGAACATTTTAAGACCTCCAACTGTTGCGACCTGACTCTGAGCTACCAAAAACAAAAATTACAAGCACAGGAGTAAAGACAGTATGCATTCAAGATCTTACTTGTTCCATTACTTACACGTTGTACAGACTGTGTGATGTTAATTCAGAATTCTATTTTTAACTTCCAAAACTCCAAAAAATTTAACTGTTATCAGTACTGCCTTTCTTCTGTGCCAAATTATTCACCTCCTTCTTCTGCAGGGGTGTTTCACAGTGAAACTAAGATGACTAAAAGATTGTTTTGATATGCACACAGACAATCAAAAGCCACATGCTAAACCAACAGAAAACTTTAAAATTATTCTAAGATGTCTTTCTAAGCTGAAACTTATCTAGATACATTGCATTCAATTTAACTACATAGAAGTTCATCTGCTCAGGGCAACAAAGATGGTGAAGGATCTAGAGGGGAAGACTCATACAGAGTGTCCGAGATCTCTTGGTTTGTTCAGCCCATAGAAGACAGGGTTATGGTGGTCTGCAGCCTCCTTACAAGGAGAGCATAGGGGCAGTTCCTGACTGTCTCTTCCCTCTGTAGACCAGCTATCCAGAAAGATCCAGAAAGGTAGGTGTGAGAATTACTTGGCACGAGGTGTTAATAACCCAGGAAGGAAAAAACAGCCTAAGAAAAATCAGAAGGGAATATATACATTATATCCCATGAGACTATGGAATTTTGGGCAAGTGTAGAAATCCAAAATGCAAGATAATTATGCTAGACGCAGTGTAGTACTGACTGCAGATTCTTGTCAGTGCTAGTCTGGGAAAAAAAATCTGTAGTATATAGAACTGCAGAATGCTCAAGCTTAGTAATTCTTGTTCAACAGCATCAATAAAATGTGTATCAGATGGAAGACTTGGAGAAGAAAGGAATTTGGGGACCATTAGAACCCTATCTTCTTTAGAAGATAATCAGATCACATTCAGCACGTCCTCCTCTATATCTACAGAGTTGGAGACTGACTTAGATGTGGCTAGTTTTTTGCGAGCAGGGTATTCCAAGGTCATTTCTACTAAATTAATATACATAGTCAGTGTTCCAAATAAATTTAAAATCCATCTCCAAAGTGAGAGAAAGGCATCTTTCCGTCAGGAATAGTAGGTAGACTGATTGACAGTGGCTATGAAATCATCTGAAGGCTTCACACTTAAAAAAGCACTGACAGGGCTCCTTGGGTATTTTGGAAGTAATATATCTTCAGATACACCATTCATCCTATGTGTATATTAGAAGACTCCAAATTATTCTGTGCTCATTCTATTATTTGCATCCCTAGAGGAACACTAAGAGTGGCTCTTTCACTACAAGATGCAGAAATTTCTCTACAGACCTGCAGATGGTCTGTGATCTTGTTACCTTACTGCTGTTTAATAACTAGAGTTGGAAAAAGATCTGGAAACAAATCTGCTTTTTCCACTCAAACTGAGGAGGAAAATGCTTTTATTACCAGACTAAGTTCTCAGAAATCATTGTACCAAATCTGTCTGTGCTACTCATTCCAGTTCCATGGTTTACACTTGATGTATTCAGAAGATTTCCTTCAGTCCCTCTGGGATGAGAATACAAAAGCATTTTACTTGCTATCAGATTTACATTATGCTCTAAGATTGCACAGAAAAATGAAATTAATGTTTCAGTTTGAATGAAATATTTCAAGTAAGTAATAAAAACAAGAGTATGTGTAACGTAACCAGATAAAATATCACTGGACATGGTACTCAACTGGAAGTAATTGAGCCACAAATTATGATGTAAAACAGAAAGATTATCACTGATTGTTGCCAAAAATATTTTCTTACAGGTCTGATGTCAGAACACTCTGGTTCTGTAGGGCTTTTCATCTGCCCTGCCAGAAATGTAATTCTATTCTTGCCTGCTTTGCTTAAAAAAATCAAAGTGGTTGAGCAAATTTCAGAATCTTCCTGAAGAAGAATCTGTACAGGCTAAATAGATCTTCAAAGAAGCAGGGGAAGGACCACTCTCTTCCGCTCTCTCTAAGAGGCTAAGGGCCTTCCTGATGTTGGGAAAAGGTAGCCCTGGATAGCTTTTTCTTTTTGAGCAGTCCTTAGCAGGAATTGCTCCATGAGCTGTACATATCACCACTTCGCTGTGTTCAGGTGGACTCTCAGAAACTCCTGGTTGTGTTTCTACACAGACTTAGATATTAGTATATTTAAACACGTTCCCACGTCTTTGCACTGGAAGAGTCAGCTGTCAACCAAAAGGTAAACAATCTATTCCCCATACAGTGTATAAAAACCTGCCTCATTTACACAACTCCCTTTTTGGCCTCTTGTCTGCAAAAGAGCCCTATCTTTATGCGAAGAAAAAGAGAAGTCTGGAATTGAGGCATTACTGCAGACACAGTCTATCAGCAACGCTTCATCCATTATTTGATCCAAAGAGAAAGAAGAAGGAATCCAAATTACTTGTAGGTGCACAAATACAAAGTCAGAATTGATCAAAAATAGTTTATATTACAATAAATTGTAACAAATTGCAGAGGAAAGCATTATGGCACAGACAAAAAAGAACCATCACAAGGACTTTATTACACCAATCTAACTTATTTTTAAGAAAAGTGTTGTGCCAAGAGTAACAGAAGTGTGGAAGACACTTAGTTGCAGGAAGTTTTAGTTCATTCTAAAAACAGAAAAAACAATTGAGTCTGGCGAGACAATTAGCAGAAAGATGGCAAAACAGAAAACAGAAACTGTAAAGAGAAAAATCACACATATAGAATTGCCATAACGTACTTGTCAATATGTACATCCCTCTACTACAGAGCTTGAGATACTTTTTGTTCACCCTACTTCATTCTTCTTGATGTCAGCTACACAGGAATCCCATTACTTATTCAAACCTTACTGCCACTTTTGCTTTTCCTAGACCAAGGCTGTGACAAGAGACTATTGCTTCTTTTAGAATTCATATCCAACTGCATATTTGTCTATATGTTCTTCTTCATGAATATTCTGGATACTAACTTCAAATCGTTTGACTTAACTATTTGCTAAGATATCAGCAATCAGGATTATAAAGCTGAGAAACAAGAAGTCAGAATAGATGCGATTCCCAAAATGGAAACACATCTTTAACACTCCGTAAATAAACCTCAGTAGACAGTAAAACACTTCCGTAGTACTGGGAATAACTTCATGAAATTCATTAAGCATTCACTCTTGTTGAGAATATAAACTCACATACATCATACTTGCGATTTGAAAGTTCATATTTTACTCCCTACTATTCCTCAGTATCACTATTAACAAACAATGCCTTCACCAGAAAATTGTAAGATTCAGCAACAATATTAATGACAGTTAGCTAAAACAGGCTAAAAGTTCTCAGGAATTAGGGAGCAAGACTTCAGACATTCTAGAAATAAAAGCTGGAAATTAGTTTGCAGACAGCTGAAAGAAAAGACCAACTTTTCTACTAATTAACATTGCTACTGAACTTCAGGATTTGGATATAGAATTCTGCAATTGTTCCTGGCAAATTAGGTGCAATATTAGTAGAATTCAGTTAACCCTTCCCTTTCATCCCCCTTTTTAAAATTAGATTTCTGACAAGCAGCATTAACACAATCATTTTCTATTCAAAAGGCATAATCTGTAATTTTTCAATATTCTTACAAGCATCATTTTCAATATCTCCTTCCTCTTTTAAATCAACCATTAAAAAAACTAAAACAAACTACTTACCAAAGAATTTCTCAAAGCACCTGTATCTGTATTTACTGTTTCCACTGAATAAGATTTTTCAAAATACTGCATTAGGCATTCAAAAGAGGGAACTGTGTCACTGGAGTTTATCAGCCACGCTGCAATCCTTGGATCCAACACGACGCTCTCTGCAACTACAAAAATCAGTTATTTCTGACAGTTAAAATATTTAAGTCACTTCTTGGATAGATAAATACTTCTAAAATTTTGTCCACCTGTCCTGTAGACACACATTATGAATACACCTAAAATGATAAATACCTTGTAGCAATCACTTTTAAAATCTGCAACATATGAATATATGAATTCACATGAGTACATAAAGCTTTGATCTCAAAAATCACTTCTGTCCTGCAGAACCTTATGTCTTTATGCTGCACTTTCTCTTAGATCCACATAAATACATGGGATTGAACAAACCTAGTGCTGTTTAATGTCATATGCACTGTAGTACCACAAAGAAGAGGGGGGAGAAGCTAATAACTAGAATTCTGAGATACAGCCAAAGATAGATGTAAGCACCCTCTTAAGGAATCTTTAAGTAATTAAGTTCAGACAACAGCCCACAGGTACATGCTTATATAAATTAAACAATTCCCAGCTATACAACCTTCAGACTTGATTAGCTGGAAGACAGTTCAATGTCCATTACATATGTGACAGCTACAAGACCAATCTGATGAGAACCAGGCTTGTTCATCTCCGCTGATTTAACTGCTGCTGAAAAGCACTTTATGTTGCTGCTTACCAGATGACAGGGAACAAGACCTTTTTTCCCCTGAAACAGCTTGGCCTGTGCTGGAGCAGCTAGATAAATGAAAGATACTTCAGCTGCATGGTTTCATGGGAAGGTTTTACGTAGTTCACCACCCCTTTCTTCAAATACGAACAAGTTCTTCACCTTGGAAGCTAACAGATGCTAAAGGAGCAGCCACAGAAATTGTCTCGAGGACATCCTGCTGAGTGCACTACTAAGAGATTCCTTCTCTTTTTTTAGGGACTAGCTTGATTTGCAATGATGCAGCTTAAAGAAGTAGACGAAGGCCTGAATTCATTTGGAAAATAAAATTTAGGTATGCCCATAGGACTTTTACTGTTCTTTCAGCAGGAAATAATCTCTACAGTGATTAAATGAAAAGTACACAACTGTGCTGAACAGGATTGCCATCAACTTAGACGATGCACTGTGAAGAGGCAGACTAAGCAACACAGCCTCACTGAGGGGCAGTAACACTGCAGGCAGCTGATGGTTGTTGGAAAGACGTCCCGAGGTTGCAGGAAAGCACTGTCCAATGAGATGCTGGACATCCACAAGTCCATGTGACAACTGCTTGAAATGTGCACTGATTTTTTTTTTTTAATAAATAAAATCTGAATTCTACTCAGAACATGTGGAAAAGAGAATCCTGCTACCAAACAGTGTTTGTGAGCTATTAGAGATCCTCCAATATCTCTATTTACAATGCGCACAAGAGTCTTCACTTTAATAGTGATGAAGAATCAAACATCCCAACCATTTGCTCTTTCTTTCTCAAGTAAGATTTTCACTAAGTCAGCTCAGTTGTAAAGAGTTGTAACCAACAACTCAGTCCTTGAAAGGGTACGACATCTGCAGCGTTAGGAGTAAGATATGTAACTAGGACAGAAGCAACCTGAAAGGACTGCAGCAAAACCAGAGTCAGGCTGAGATAAAAACGACCAGAAGAGATGGTGCAGATTAAAGCACAATTATGTGCAGATTGTGAAATGGTAGTCAAGACTCAAGTGCTGTATACCTCCTCCAGAAACCTTAGTGAATCACAGTGGCAAAGCATGCTACGCTTCACCAGTTTGAATTAACATAACCATGTATTCCACTGGTTGGCACATGGCAGTTTAAGGAAGTTTCTATGGGGAACATGAAACTCAAGGCAATTTAACCTGCTCAGCTACACACAGGATTGTTTTGAACGCTTTTTTTTTCCCCACTGGAAATCATCCTTAAACTTCTCAACATTTCAGCAATTCCTACTCTAAGAAGAAATACACCACCTCAGTGTACCAACTCTCTCTTCAGAAACTCCCCAAGAAAGATATTCTTTTCCATTGTACTAGAACTGTTTTCCAGTATTTAACTAACCACTAACCTAATTGCTTCTGCACCTCGCAATTTTAACGCCACAGGCACAGCTCACAGGATTAAGTCATAGATTAGATAGTTACCTTGTTTCCAGCTAATTCCATTACCATAAATTTGAAGTACTGTCTTCAGGAAATCTTTCGCATTGAAGCAGATAACTGGAACTTTGCAACGTAGTATTTGAAACAACACTTGCCTGCACAGAGAAAGTTTCTGAATGTGCACTATACTGCTATTAGATTTAGTTAAGCCATTTAATTTAAATTTTTAATTAGCAAGTTGTACTAAACTGAACAGCTAATAAAAGGCATTTATTTTAATAAGAATATAGTATTGTATTTGAATATTGATTTTTCAATTCAATACCTGAATCTTCATTCTATACTTAAACACACTAACAGATGGCTTACCTGCATGCATAAAGAAATCTCGACACTTAGAATTAAACACAATCCAAAAGAGCAACTTGCATGCCTATAATACTTTACTGTGCCTAAATGAGATCACGGAATCTTCTAAAGTTACTAGACAATCTAAATTGCTCTAATTGTCTACTGTTCAAAGGCTGTTTAAAACTACTATATCTCATTTTTCCATATCTTCCCATTCTTTTTTGAAAGCATCTATAGTTTCTGTATCCACGACATTTGAAATAGAACTATGAATACATTTCATTAATCATGTGTATCATCATTTTATACAGCATAAAAAGGATAATTCCATATAGGGCTTTCATGTTGATTTATTATTAACAAAATGAAACCACAGTTCTTGGACAGGTTTAAAATATTTTATTTGAAATTTTCTAGGTCATAAGGTATTTCTGAGTATATTGTAGAATCACTACTAAACAACCTCACCATTCTTGGAAGATATAAGCATTTAGAAAAAGTCTATAGTTAGAACGCATAACTTGTTTATTCTTGAGTGTTTGTTGTTTTGAAGTACTTTAAATCCTAACACTGAGTTGTTTACAATAAATCAGTTATTACTGAAATTCATAAAGCATTATGAAAAAGTTTCATCATGTGACTATTACAGTGAAAAATCAATCTACTTCCTCCCATAATGGGATACTACTTCAAAGTCAATAAGGAATAAAAATGGATTTTGGTTATGCTAAGTGGAAGTTCAAACTAAAACCCAACTTGAAAAATTTAGCCCAACTATTAAACAGACGCAAAAAATGCTTTTGTAATTTGTATGTTTCACTGTTACTGGATCACAAGAAAATCTCATTCAACATCTCAAAAGTCATCTTAAAAGCCTACTGCTCTCTGTGCTCTGAAATTAAAAATATTACCAGAGGTCAAAAAGGCTATTTACAATAATCATGTTCTAGGATTACTATGTAAGAAATACAGGGAGGAAACGAAGATTAAATACAAAAAGAAAAATCTTGTGAGATTTGAGATTTATGTTTTTTGAGCCATATCTTCGTAGGGCATTCATACAGCATTTCTAGGTGAATATATTAATACTATAAATTCATATAATACTTAAAGACTGTGTATTAGTATATTAAATATTATCACAATCCCAGCCTCCTCCTGCAAAGAAATCAAGTCATCAATATCACTGCTGCCAAAAAGCAGAATGTTGCTTTATTCTTACATACTCTTACCGGGCAAATTTGTTGTGAGCCTGTTCTTCTTGCTCCCAAAGGGAAGAGCATTCAGTTTCCACATAAATGAATTTATCACTTGGACTAGCAGTGCTCCAAGTACTGGCAGTTGAAGAGAAACTGAGAGAGCAAAGGCGATCTGTTCGACTCTTCACTAATACAACAATTCCCTTCACTGACGAGGCTAAGGTGGTCTGTTAAGCATAATTACAACAGTGTTTCCTCTGAGATCTTTTATGCAATGCCAAAAAAATTTCCCAAGTATTTTACAATATGAAAACTACAAGGTACAATAGTTACTGTATACACCATCGACATAATAAAGAAGGTTGCAAATGCTTCATCCTTAAAAAAAAAAACCAACAAACTACTGTGACAGCCATGGTAGGAAGAAGAAAAAAAATATTTAAAGTCTTGCTTGATGTATGCTAATGAGTGCTTAGCCCAAGATCTTCCAGTTTCTTTAGATTTTATTTGGTAACTAAGAATAAAAGGCAGCCAGAAGTATGAAGATTTATCTCATTATAAATTCGTATTTTGGTAAGCAAGAATATTTTAAACTGCTCCAGATTCCACCCTCCCAATGAACATGGCTTTATGTTAACCAGCCACGTGCACAGTTCAAATAATTCAGCAAAACAGTCACCAAAAACCCACAGTTCACTAACCTGCTCTGAGTTGAGCTGTGAAGAACCATCTAGAAATATCATGGTAGTTACAAAAGCCACTGCTTCTTTTATATTTGCAATCAATTCTCTTTTTTCTTCATATCCTAAACTCCTGATATCACAAAAATCATTTTCAGAATGCTCTGCTTGTCTGGAAGTCCAGTTATATCTCCTCTCACGTGAAATGCGTTTCTTAACAAGTAATCTTTTTTTTCCCAAACAATACGTAGGTACCTCTTGCTTTCTTTTAAGGGGGGTAACTAAATTCTTTTCACCAGCTGCCATGTTTCTTTCTTCTGCTGTAAGGTTTCTTTCTCTATATCCCCATTCAGTAGAGCCTAATTCCCGGTAGAAGCTCGGGATTTCTTTGGTATGTGCCATCCTGACTGTCTCACCAGCAGTCCTTTTTTGAGAGCTGGCAGATGATTTTAATAAGGCAACTGTGGAATCACTGATCTCCTGGAAAAATCAGAAAATGTTCAGTGAACCAATTGTTCAACTTATTAGGAGACACAAAAATAAACATACATGGGTTCATTTAGCTTAGATTTTCAGGATGTGATGCTCTACAGAAAAAAATGTTAGTGATAACATCAAAGAAGAGGAAACTATAGGCCCAAAGAGCATATATATATATATATATATATATATATATATATATATAAATATATATATATATATAAATATACATAAATATATGAATGTGTAAGAACTGTAGACAGACAGCTAATGCACTAAAAGTGTATTCTCCAGTCAAACTGCAACAAGTTTTTACTGTTTAACACATAGCAGAATTTGAATTAGGACACTGAAGTAATTATAGAATCAGCAGTAAGTAATTATCTTTTAAAACTTCAAAAATAGGAACAAAAATTTAATTATCAAGTCAGAATAATAGAGGTGAACAATGATTAACCACAAAGCAGCAGCAGCAGCAGCTTCTGGGAAGAACCAATCATCTACTAGAAATAATGACATAGCTGGAAGTAAATAACAGGCTTTCAAAGTCAGAAGATGTAGTTCCAGAATTTATGTAGAATAATCTTGCTAAATGTGGTGAGTCAAAGTTTATCTCTTCAACATTGCAGGATGGGTTTCCACTACTATTTACATTCATCTATGGCTTAAATCATTCTCATCAAGCCCATCTAAGAGCCAATTAAATTTGCAGTAAGCTACCCCATGCCAAAACTCCTAGATGGACTTGCAGTAAGTGTAATAATCACCAGAGTTGGAGTAAGGAAGGCTGTAGGATTTGCAGCTGGGATAGCGCTGCAGTTTTAATACCTGCAAATCATTTGACCAACTCAATAGACCTCAACCTCAGCCCAAGTTGCGACTGTTCCAGTTAGCCATTTCCATTCTTGGATTAGCACCTAGAATCAGAGTTGGAAGGGACTTCTAAAGGTCATCTAGTCCCACTCCCCTGCAATGAACAGGGACATCCACAGCTACATCAGATTGCTCAGAGCCTGGTGCAGCCTGGCCCTGAAAGTCTCCAGGGATCGGGCATCTCTGGGCTACCTGTGCGAGGGTCTCACCACCCTCACTGTAAAAGATTTCTTCCTTATGTGTACCTGCACACACATTAAATGAATTCAGAGAGATGATTCAACAGAAAAATTAAGCTTCCCAATTTGCAGACATTTTTCTTGTGAACCAGCTCACTTTGATTGTGAAACACCTAGTAGCAGCCTATGGGAGCACCAGAGATGGATACTAAAATAATATTTTAATTTTCACCCACACAGCTGCTCTAAGGACATTCAGTAGACAGAATGACGCATTAATTTAGAACAGCTTATGGAGAGGATATAATATCTAATGGTTCTGTTCTAGACCACGTGGGAATTATATGAGCTAGTTATGGATGAGAGGGTAATTTACAAAACATAAGCCACTTCACTACTGCTACAAAAAGCTTTTTCCAGTATTTTGCAAGGTATTTTCACATGCTAGCGATTATTCAGTCATAGAGGTTTGAGAACATTTTAAAATTACATTAGCTACCCAAATTTGGCAACATTCTACATTTATTTCTGGTCAATCTGTCAGAGAAGACTTTATAACCAGAGCAAGAGGGGGCCAAGACTCTCTAAGGCAAATAGATAGCAAGTGCAAAATAAGATTAAAGTTATCTAAACCACAAATGTATGCAATGTACTGCAACACAGTTTGTTATGGAAGAACTAGTCAATAACAACTTCAAGTCTTCCATAAAACAGTTGCTTTTTTTAGTGGTATTTTACAACGTGCTTGCCTTTTCATTTTTCAGACATGCATCCTTATCATCTAGTTTATCTTCCTTTGTCTTCTCTTTACCTTTAAAAAAAAAAAATATTTTACAGCACAAATGAATCTGACCAGAGCATATAATTTGGTTTATAGAGTGCTAGATTACCAACCCTGTTACTAAAGTTAAAATAATTGCTATTAAGTTTTCTGTGGCAGATGTTTTCCTCAGACTGACACAAATCATGTTTAAAATGGCCCTGCAGGTTCTGAAACATGCATACACAAAAGTATGCTCCATCTCCCTTAAAAAAAAAAATTCGACTTCACTACAAAGAAGAAAACATTTTGTAGGGAACTCAGAAGGCACTTTACTGTAATATTGTAAGCATACACACTGCCATCCTTCAAAACACATTCAATTTTTGTCAAAGCAAAGCTTGGGGCACATACAATAAAAACAACAAAAAAGACACTATATACCACAGTTTACACAAAATCACAGGAGCTGAAAAGGACCTCCAAGAAATCATCAAGTCCAAAACACTGCTAAAGCATGTTGCAGAGGTAGACATCCAGATCTTGAATATCTCCAGAGAAGGAGACTCCACAGCCTCTCTGGACAGCATGTTCAAATGCTCTGTTACTCACAGTGAAGAAGTTTCTTCCTCATATCTGTATGGAACTTCCTGTGTCACAGCATTTGCCTGCTGCCCCTTATCCTGACACTGAACACCTGTGAAGAGCCCAGCCCCATCCATTCAACTTCCACGCTCCAGATACGATATTTATAAATAGTTTAACGTGTTGTTAGGTAGTACTATTCTCAGAAATACTCTTCAATAAAATATTTTCTTTGCATAAGGCCTAGAAAAAAAAATATTGACCACACTCCATTGAGAAGTTACTTCTTACCACATCGCTCACCCTTGCAAGAGAATGGGTATTTTAAGACCAGACAAGAGAGAGCATGGAAAACTCAGACTGATCAAACTGACAGAAAGGTGAGTCATGACCAGCATAACAGCACAGAGTAGGATGGCTGTCAGAGTTGGGTTTAAGACAGAACCCCAGCCCATAGCATAGTTGCTAACCTGAGCACCTCTGAACTACCAGTGATATTTTAGCCTAGAGTTCTTCTGAAAGTTTAAGGAAGGCTTTGTAACGTCAGGACTTTGCACAGCATGAATGAAAAAGTTAAGATGTGCCTTCTCCTTTCCTTCCCTCAACACCACCCAGGAGCCCAACAAGAGAAGTAAAAGAAGGCTGGAATAAAAGAACGAAGGGCAATAGGCAAGCAGCTCTTAAAATTCCAGTGAGCACAGTAAAAACTTCTGTGAAATATGCGCTTCCGCAGTCTGTAATTAGAACTCTTTCCTCTAGATCCTTCTACTGCCTAGCAATTCAAAAAGAAACCAAAAAACACTCATGAGCAAAACACATATTCCTTTCTAACTGCTGGTCCAGAAATCCTGCTGATCTCTGCTACAAAACTTGCATTACCAGCAGCAAGAGATTCTGAACCTAACATACTGCTTTCACTGAAACTGATTATAATAACGTTTTGACTAGGTAAACCAGGATCCTGTATTTAAAAGACTAAAAAAGCATTTTAAAAGACAATTACTTTCCCCAGAAAAAAACTAAGCATATTATAGGCATCTCACACTGTATAATTTGTTACTTATCTCCAGTTAAGATACCTAACTGGTGGGATGCATCAAGAAAACCGAACCTAAAATTCACTCCTCCACAATAATAAGATTATAATTTACAATGATAGTAACATGATTTTGCATTCAGTGTTCTTAACTGCTTAAAGTATCTAGATATTTTTTCTTAACAAGTTCATCCTCCTGAGAAAATAAGGTTTATTTTCTCTCCTTCAGCACACAGTATTCAGTAAGACATACGCAAGTGGCTACACAACTTTTCAGTTCCTGCCTTATGTTAGGAAGTATCACCAGATGGCAGTAGAAAGCCATCCTAGCCTTCAAACTTGGCAAAAGCTGGAGTCTAAAAGTGCTGACACACCATTAACATTATCTACCTCGCTCTACCTCTGGAATTTACATTCACTTTTTCCCCTAGAATTGCACAGAGTGAGCTGGTAATGAGCATGTTTGGGAAGAAAAGACTGTGAGCCTGGAGAGTTCACAGGGCTTCTCCTAATTTTTCAGCACCTGTACTGCAAGTCTTTAGTAGAGTTTCAAGCTGATGCACATTTACAGTGTTAATTAACGCTAAGAAATTCTCATCTATATTACTACAGGTTAGGAAGGAAAAAAACACAGTAAAATTCAGGCTAACAGCAACCTCCCAGTTTCTTGCACTCACACAGTGATATTTAACCAGGAAAGACACATCAAATACTACAGTTATTTCTTAATTCCTGAGGTTCAGTGTTGTGTGCTTGCATTTCAGTTTTTTAACTGAAAAGAGAGACACTTAAGAAGGCCAATACTCACTCTGATTATTTTTTCTGCTAGTCTGAACTCCTGCAGGAATAGACTGCAAAGCTGACATAATCCTCTGAGCAGTATCAGATAAAGGCACCTCAGAAATCCCACATCCTATGTATGATGTGTAATGCTCCATTTTTATGATTAAGCCTAAACACAGAATACACATATGAATTATGCATTGTATCAGTCAGAAACCAGTCTGCACTTTAATTCTGTTTAAGACAAAATACAATGACTGTGTTCAGCCATCCATTTGCCTTAATAGATTTTCTCCCTGACATGCCTAAAGTATTCTGAAGTATTGCAAATAAAAATTAGCAATTACAAAACCTACAAAGTGAAACATCTTGAAATACAGTGTTTTAGTACACTGATAAAAATTATCACAGAATGGCCAGGGTTGGAATGGACCTCAAGGATCATGAATCTCCAACCCCCCTGCCACATGCAGGGCCACCAGCCTCCACATTTGATACAAGACGAGGCTGCCCAGGGCCCCATCCAACCTGGCCTTGAACACCTCCAGGGATGGGGCATCCACAGCCTCTCTGGGCAGCCTCATCAGGTTCCAGAGGTTCCAGTATCTCACCATTCTTCTCTGTAAAGAATTCCCTCTGACGTCCAACCTATATCTTCCTTCCCTCAACTTAAAACCATTTCCCCTTGTCCTTCTAAAAATTATGCAGTCTTAAGTACAGCTAACTTCTAATAAGAGACTGACAAACAAGGATTACTCTGTTATTACTGTTGAAAATACTCCCCCCAATATGTTCAATCTAGCCTATATCTAACATATGCATAACTTTACCTATATCTATCATATGTACAACTTTACTGTTGTTAGTCCTCAAGTTTTAATTCATGGATGTTTTTCTTGATCTAACTGTCAAAACAGCACCAACTTGTGATGAAAGAAGAGTTACTATCATCATGCACAAAGACCAGTAATACAGTTTTAGAAAACATGCATACAAAAAACCTTCTATTTCATAAGTTCTGTATAATTTACATAGTCAAGTATTAATATGACTACATTGGTCAGTGTAAAGTCAATCATGTCTAAAGCCTCTACAAGTTTTAAGCACAGCTACTGATGTTCTCAATTTTACCCTTTCTTTCCTTCCCTCTCCAAAAGCAGCTGCTTTTCCACTTGTAGAGTATGGCGACAAGACAATACATACAAAATACTTGGAGCCACTAGATAAAAAAGCATTTGGGAGAACTAGAGACAAGGCACCCATACTGACAGACTGCTTGACTTCACATGGCTAGATCTGTACAAAGCACAGAACTTACCACAAACACTAGGTATGCACGCAACATTTCCAAAGGACTCAAGATAGTACATTCTCCACCAAGAACTGCTGTTAAGTAAATTAATTCCTCTACAAATATGTTATTCTGATCTTCTTTTACTAAGTTCTGTGTATAAATAGCCTTTCAGGTCAAGTCTGACTATCAACAATACACCCTTTTCTTTACACAGAAATATTTTTCTTAGTTCAAGATCACAAGCAGATTGCTTACAGTCTAACTTGTAACAGAAATTACTTACAAATACAAAAAACTATCAAAGAGGAATAGCCATCAAGCCACATTAAATTTTGTCTATCTAGCTCCAAAGAGGTAATCCTGTTTCAGTTTGCGTATGCAATAATCTAAAGCTTTCATAATAGCTTGAGTTGTAGATGTAGAAGACAAAGAGCATCTCTAAATTCATTTGTGAGAAAGAAAAATGAAAACACCACATGACCAACCTCCAGCACAGCGCTCAAGAACCTTAAGCAGAGTAAAACAGTGAGGGATTTTTGAAGTCACAGGATACTTCTGGTCATAACCCTTGCAAATTATGTACTGCCACACTGCATGATGCAAAGCCATAAAAGAAAAATCTAACTGACTTTCATGGAATCTAACAAAAGATACCAGAAAAAAAATCACTATTTTGTCAAACAAAATAATGTACTATACAGTGAAAGCTGGTTTGCAATTTGATACTAAGCAAGAAGATAGCAGTAAGATTTTCCTTTTCCAGACATTCCACAAGCCAGGAACATAGTCTTCTTCTAACTTTCAAAATTGTTTTTTTAAAAATTGTTTTTTATTATTTGTATCATTGTTTTCTTACAGAAGGATAAAAATATTTCCTAACTTCCCATAGAGGGAAGCAGTAGTCTTCAGATTCAAACTCTGGAGCCTATCAAAATGAGAACCCAGAAGATTAAAAATAAACAAGACACCATTCATGAACATATACTAACACACAGATATGCCACAAATATTGACAGCACTGAACTGAATTTAATAACAAACAACATATGGATCTAAACAGCATGAAAACTAGGCATAAAGACATCAAACCAATAAGCTAAAAATTATACATTTAAGAATAAGTTACATAAAAGTAGACATTAAAAGCTTGAAGCCAAAATATTTTTTGAAATACTACTACTGAAGTTGAAGCTAATTTACTAGCCTTCATCAATATGTGCAACACTTGAAAGTAAGTACAGCTGATCAGAAAACAAGAGCCTGGAGTATTTTTATACTACAAAATCACATTTAGTGCCATTGGTCTAAAAGGAAGCCTATACAAAAATTTGATAAGCAGTCTTAATACCAGTCTATGCAGGAGTATGAAGACATCATTCAAATGCCTGGCAACACAAATCAGAGAGTAAATACTGTGTAGAGATATCCCCAAAATGTTCAAGTCTAAAAGGTGAAAGCTCTCTCTTTGAGAAGTTTGCTGTAAGTGGGGACTAATTTCTATAGAGAAGGCATAAATAAAGCGATGACATGGTGGCCAAACAGCCAACAGATTCTGTTACATATTTATGTACATTTCTATATAATGAAAATAAATCTTAGAGAACTAAGTAAAGCAGAATCGTATCATTTCTGCCTTGGAGAACTTCCTCTACGGAAGGAAGCACATTACCATTTATGTTCCAAAATCTGGAATCCCTCTTTACTTCATGTATTGGAAGTTTCTTACCATGCAAGAAAACCAATCCCAAGGGTTTGAAGCTTTCTTTTGCTCTATGCTGCACAAAGTGGAAATCAACATGCAGCCTAGTAAAAGAGCGATGTGTATGCAATTCATTCAAGCAACCAATATGTTAATTAATACTGAAGAACTTGAACCGAATGACCAAATGCCAAAGCCATGAAGCAGCATATAACCCAAACATGGTAACTGTGGCAGCTAAACACACACTGCAATGACAGATAAACGTTCACCTTGATAAGCTAATACTTATCATTCCATAAACTTGTAGACAGTTTACATTAACATGGTTTTTTATCTTCAGAATACACTGAAGGTTAAGTATTCAGGAATTCACTGGTGGTGAAATTCTCATGTTCCAGAGCACTTGCTTTAGCCTCTGACTGCTGTTCAAGCTTCTCCACCATCTCTTTCAAGTGGTTCTCATCTTTGAAATAATACACATACAAGTTTCTTTCCATCTGATGCAGCTTATTGGACGCTAGGAAGTTTCTCTTTGACTTCACATCAGCAGTAAGATCCATAATTAGTTGATTTAGTTTATTTAAATCACCTTCCAGTTGATGAAATTGCTCAGTAAGTTCCTAACAAAAGATACACAACACAAAAATGTTATTTTTGTATCATTAATACACCAAAAGACTTTCATATTTCTAGTTCAATTGCTTTTGGAAGCCTTTAAAAAAAAAAAATAAGTGAAAAATCATTAAAAACAATATTGTATGATAAATCCTGTATATGTAGCTGTGGATCTGCATGTATCTGCATCAGGTTATGAAAATGTAATTTAATTTCCTCCCTTACTAAAACAATGAATTAAGACTGTAAGAACCTGTCCTCCAACTATATAGATGGTTGAACAGCACTGCCTATCAAGTCTTCATTACTAGTCAAAAGGGAAAAAAATCAAACAGAAAAGCAATTTAATTTTAATATGAGATAATTGCAAAATACAGTTCTCCTAATTGTCATTCTTATGATAGTTCAGGGTAGGCAGGTTAGTTACCTACTTGCACATTATTTCCCTATAAGAACTATTTTTCCTGATACCAATAGAAAAATGTGTCACTGTTTTAAGTCACTTGGAGCAATGAAGAGTACACTGATGGAGGCAAAAACCTTTAATCCCTAAGAAGGCATTGTTCTAATTACAAAGAATAATTTATTTGTAAGACTGTTCTGTATGCTGTGAATAGAGTCGAATATTATTAATTATATATTATTCATGTATTTTCTAATGCATGTAAGTAAGGATTGTGGAACAAGTGAAGGCTTCTGTTGCATTTTTCAGATATCTGTAGTTGCTTACTACAACAAAATTGTATTTAACCCTATTCACCTTCCAAAGCAGCTGCAAAAGCCATCCAGGAGCTCTGTCATAGAATTGTCCTACAAAAATATCCTTCAAAAATCCCAAAATTCTTACTTCCTACATATGAGCCAACTCAGCCAGACCATTTTAAGGGGCAGACCATTATATTCAGGTGAATATTTATATGAATTTTCCTGTGACACCGTAGCCAGAAGACATTTTCCACACCATAAATCTATACATGACTGTAACTGCCTTTGAAAGAAATAAGTGTTAGATGCCACCATTGCTTCAAAACCAATAAATTATTCCCTGCCAACCTATGCAAAATCCCACACTTGCAAAGAACAGCACCGCCACCCGCCCATCATCATTACACTACTAAGTTTGTTGATGACATGTTGTGGCCATTTTATGCCTACAGCCCTTATACCTGTCTCAGTAAAAGAGCACAACAGGCTTGGATACAATCATTTAATGACGACATGAGGACATACCCGACTGGTGAGTAGTATCTGATTTCCTCCGCAGTACAGAGCATCACGAAGAGCATTTACATCACTGTCCAGTTTGGACAACAAGAGAGACTGCTCCTGAGAAGACACTGCTAGCTGCTCTTCTGCTGTCACACAATCCTGATTTAATTTCTGAGCCATCTGTTCCAGGTTTTTGTATGTTTTAAACAGTTGTTTTTTGTTTTCTCCTTCCAAAAGTTGGTAAAGCCTGGAACAAATGAAGTTAGACACAAGCATTTTTAAGTTACTTAAGCATTCCTGGCATTATCAGTCAAGAGAAGATCTTCATGTTGAGAAGTTCAAGAAATATGTAGACATGGTATTACAGAATATGGTCTAATAGGCAATACTGGTGGGAGGTGGATGGCTGGATTAGATGATCTTAGAGGTCTTTTCCAACCTTAATAATTCCATGATTCTAAATTAGACTGAGGACCAGCAAAGTACATAAGTTGTAAGAGTACTGCTGATATAATGCTGTATCTGCCACTGATATGTACATAGGTCACGAGTGATCCACAGGACTCCGAAATATTCCAAATGGCAAGCAACAGCAGTGAAATATGTTCTTATTAACTGTGACTTTAATAACGATGCCAACTCATTCAAGAGGATGACAACACACTCTTTTGCAAACTATTTCCTACACTTCAAGGACAGCAGTGCTGAGAAAATGCCAGAACTCCATGGCCAGTGAGAAATTAAAAAAAAAAATCTTTATGAAATTTTAAAGCTTACTGCTTTCTATCTATGGAAAGACCACTAAGGAATTCTACACTGGGTTATGAGTCATGCAAAAGACAGCAATATTTTGCTATAACTAAACAGAACCATAACTTAACACTACATCAGGAACAGTCACTTCTCTCACTGCTGCTAACTTGATCAGTTGCTACTGCCACCTCTGCATATTAAAGTCTCCAGAATTTGGAGAATCATTGAGCCCCAATTAGGTATCAGAGTGCTTTTAGGGAGAGAAGCACTATTTCAAAGGTAACTGAGTTTATTTCATCTACTGCTCATAAACCACTCAGGATTTACAACTCTGTCATGAGCAACAAGGCCAGCCTTTTTAAAGAATAAAAAAGCAAACAAGCAGTCAATAAACATTGTTACTTAGTCACAAAGAATCTCAATAATAAAACGTTACAGTTTTTCAACACAGACACAACTTGGGTAAAATGAATCCTACCTGATTCTGCCATTCGCTGCTCAAGACTAAATTATCAATCAGTCAGCTACTAAAAAAACCACTTCAACAGTTCAAAGAAGGGGTAAAAGCCTAATATCACCTATAATTATAGAACACACCTAATGAAAAAGTTTAGGTACCTCGAAGTGACCACAACACAGTACAGTCCTGCTGTACCACCTGAGATACAGGAAGACTGAATCACTTCGATGGTGAAAAAAATCCTATATGGGCAACAGGATGCAGGTGGCAAGTCAAACAGTACCAATGAGCTAAACACATTTCTTACATCCCAGGAGTTGTTCCTCTCCTCCATCACATAAGGAGCTTTGTAGGCTGAGCAGATGAGGCCATGGATATTGCCTGGGATATTACTGCTACTAACAGCTCTCTGCACCTGCACTTCTGGAAAAGCCTTCAAGATGTCTGATTTTGCTAAACATTCATTACATTCTCAATATTGCTTAGAAATGCTTTGGCAATGTTAACATCTCATACCTTGAAAGCTTCAATTCTGGAGAATTTCAAACATTAAGTAGCTATGGCAAGTAACTAATAACAATTGAGGATGCTTTGCTTACCTACATCTTCCCAACTTAATTAAAAAAAAAAAAGTCAAGGTTCACTTTAACACTTACCTACAAGAGAAATCATCCTTTGAACTAATAGCGTTCCTTGGCTTTGCAAGTTCAGTTTGCTTAGATAACACCTCTAGTCTCTGCTGCATCTCATTACTGCTCTGTTTCAGAGATTCTATCAGATTCTCAAGTTGACAGTGGATGTCTTTGTGTTTCTTCAATTCAATGTCATAGGCTAGCTGAATAAGTTCAAGTGACGCTTTCTGTCTTATCAGATGGCTGCAGATCTCATCCTGTTTAGAAGCGAAATGGTCCTGCTGAGCAATCTCACGATCCAGGGCAGCCATTACCACCGGCGCAGTGAACAGCTGTGCATGCTCTTTCAGAAGGGAAGGCAGATCTTTGTTGTTTATTTCAGCTATCTGTTGCTTAATCGTAGAGATTTCATCATTTAAACTAGATATTTTGGCCTCGACATTTTCTTGCTTTTCAATACCCTGCATAAAGCAAAACATATCAATCCCTTCACAGTTCCCTCAGATTTTTGTTCACCTTTCTTCATTCTGCTTTCCTAATACATTTCCTCAGGTCACACAAGAATCATGCACTCACATGAAGATCAAAGCATCATCACAATTAAATGAGAACTCTGCAAGCAGCTTTACAGACTTACTTCACAATATACAAGGCAAATACAGATTTAAGATGGTAGGCATCGTATATATTTCGAGAAATAATTAAATCTGCTCTACTACAGAGCCATGAAACACTTCATCACAGAAAAACTGTATCTGTATTTTAGTTCACACCTAGATTTCAACCAGATCTAACTGAAACGTCACATGCAAAAAAGTTTACATTCAGCCAGATGACTGTCAATACTGCCCATCAGAACCTTTTTCAAATGACTCTAATCAATCACGCACAATATGCCTGTCCACAAATGAGAACATACCAACATAATGCCTCAAGTTAGTCCATGACTGCAGTATAAGCTAATTTTCCTCCTTCTGTTACAAATCCCTCACATTCGTAAATATCACATCTGCCCATCACTCAATGGGACACCTGTGGGATTTCCACAACACAACCCATTGTTTTGGTATCTAAAACATATCAACATTATGTCTCCACGTTATAAATTCCCAAGTCACTGAACTAAAACCTGGAGGCTTTTTTTCCCCTATAGGAAATATTAACAAGAATATATATCACAGTAGCCCCCATAAGCAAAATTTAAAGTTAAGGTTTTGATTACTGTACAATGGAGACAGTTACAACTTGAAATTGCAGAGTTTAACAAAATTAGAAAGGTACTACTAAGAACCAGTTTTTTTAATGCAATAAACTCCAGAATGTAGAATTCAAGGTACTCTGTCATACTGAAAAAACTCCTAAGCTAGCTCCTAGTCACTGGAGCCACTTCACAAGCACAAAACTAAAACCTCAATAAGTGCAATTCCACTATGTAAAAACAGTAGAACAAATAATTCAAAAGCATGCTTCTCTCTGTTTAAAACTCTACAACCTTATAAAGCCATTTGCCACTTACCTTGCTCTTTGAGGATTGCAGCATGCTCTCTGCACACTCTATAGCTGAATTCAAGCTCTCTTCTTCAGCTTGCAATTCAATTAGCTGATGCTGAGCACAAATGTACGCTGCCTGGAGGCTGGCAATCTCCTGACTCTTTCCACAAGCTTCAGTAGTCTCAGCACAAGTGACATGTTTGCTAATATCTGCAAGCTCAAAGTTGTTTTCGTGCAAATTTTCAGCCAATTCTGACATGCCCTGATAAAAATGCTTTTTTGCATATGAGGCAAGTGCTGCAGTGCAGTGCTCTTCCCGAGACAAATACTTGTCCAAGGAAAGTTGGGAAAAAAACACTGGATGCAAACCTGATCCTTGTTCCGAAGCTGAAGCAGTGAAGAAAGAGGCCAATTTCTTGACTCTATCCACAAGAGACTGCAGTTCACTATTAAGCTTATTATTTGCTGCAGTAAACAGTTCCAGACCTTCTTTCAAATCTCTCTGTGTTTCTTCCTCTTTGATTTTTAGTGTCTGTAACATGCTGCTGTTTTCAGAAATCATCATCTGAAGCTTATTATGCCGATGGATTGTAAGACTTTTCACTTTCTGAAGAGCTTGAAACTCATCCTCTAATTTCTTAAGTTCCTCTTCCTTCTCTTGTCTGTTGCCTGAATCTGCTGGCTTACAGGTTTTAAGGGCTTCATCCAATGCATTTCCTTCTAAAATGGGCTTTCCAGACTCAAGAAGACTATTAAAATCTTGCAGTTCTTTTTCAGATAACACGTGCTGCTCATTTACAGTTCCACAAAACCACTCCAGAAATGATTTGTCTTCTGAAGACTCAAACAGCCAGTCAAAATCCTCTCCATTGAGCTCAACGGCTTTTGGATACCCAATTTTCTTAAGAATTTCCACAAACTCCTTCCCACAGCTCATGATTTAAGTATTTTTGAAAGCAGAAAAGATTCAAATATGTGGAAAATTTCTAGGGGATTATTCTAGCGTGGGCTTTTTTTGGTCATTTTAAGGGAATACTCAGTATTCTAATACAGAAGTGTGTGCATAGGAAAGTGAAAGTAGCAGATCACACCACAGAACTGAACTCTACCATGGGCTACAATTGTTAGTAAGACCAGAAAGCAATTTTTATTTCAAGGATGTCTTAGGGCATTCCTGTCCTGATCTGATAACCAAGACGTTTCTTGACAACAATTACATCCCAAATATTTGCAAAAATATATCGTTTTGCACAGTGAAGGTGACTTTAAGACTGAAATCGAATTTCACCATTAATTCTAAACTAACAGATCTACACAAATAGTGCGCACATCGTTGCCCTGCTGGAGTGTCTCACTTTGATAGCTTCCCACACCCTTAATTTAAGTCTTTTTAACTCCTCCAAAACGAGGGAAGCTTTCAGTCTGCCCTAAAAATAAAGCTAGGAGACACCAAACAAAAACTCAAACTCTCGTTTGTATCTTTTACTTCAGCAGCAAACAGAATCTTGTCTTCTAAGGCTTCGTCTTTATATTTCCCTCTGAAAATAGAGCAAGAAGTCCTTTACCATACAAATACCAAAGCAATTACAAGAAGGTCACTCGGAGCACGCACTCTGTGGTGCAAGCAGGCACCGAAAGGCAGCCTTCAGACCAACAGCCCCGACGGGACGCCGGGGGCCGCTTCCCTCAGGACGAGGAGCAGGCAGCGTTACTCACCACGGTGCGGTGCCCCCAGCGGCGGGCGGACGGGCGGGCGGGACGGGCCGCAGCACTAAGAAGCGCTCGGGCAGCCCTCCGCGAGGCGAGGGAACGGCGGCGGGCTGCGAGAAGAAGAGGGAGGGGCGAGCGGCCGTTATGGCGCCAACGGTCAAAACGCCCGCCGCGCGCCGCTCTCGCGCAGCCTCCATCCGCTGAAGCCCACTGCGCACGCGCGTATCTCCTCCTCGCGAGCCGCCTGCCTGTCGCAGAGGCGCGTGCGCGCTGCGCCGCTCCTACGGGGCAGCCCTACGCGGGGCTTGGCCGGAAGCCGCCGTGGTGTCATGCGGGCGGGTTGCCCGCGCGCGGCGGCCGTTAGGTGTCCGCTGTGGCGTTCTGTCAGCGCGGGTTTCGGCCTCGGTTCTCGTTGTGGCCGCTCGTGTGCAGCCCTGTACCGCAGCCTGTGGCTTTCCTGCTGTCCCCCAGCGTAAAAGGAGGGTAGCGGTGTCTGCCATTTAACGCGGCTCGGTGCTGAGCAAACGGCACCGGACTGCGGTGTTCGAGGCGCAGCCTGAAGCTGAGCAGTGCAGAGGACGGCCTGGCGTTTGCCTGTAGAGCCGTCGTGCTTGCAGTGGAATTGGCCTGTGAAGCTGCTCTCAGAGAACAAACAAACAAGAAACCCTGCAACTAAATTTTTATACTTTTGTAGTGTTTTTAATAGGGAAAACTATACTGAGGCAGCTGGTGATGTGAACAGGCAGTAAATGCTGGGCAGGGGAACACTGGAAATGCCTGGCTGGGTCAGCGGTGCTGCTGACGGGTCCTCTGTGGCAGCAGAGGGTTGCTCAGCACAGACCTGGTCACCTATGGAGCCTATAGGCACTGTGTTGGTGCTTTGCTCATGCCTGCTGCTTTCATCTTTTCATGGTCTTGACCACCAATTTGTCTAATCCATTTTTGAACCTACTGATGCCATCCAAAGCTTTGCAGGCCAACGAATGCCAGAACTTCACTAGCTGCTGCTTTAAAAATACACTTTCTTTGGTGTTTTTTTTTTAAAAAAAACTATTGCCTCCTTCATTTCATCAAATGACTATTGGCTCTAGCACTGCAGGATTTGAACATCAGCTCTGCATTTATCTTGCCTCTTGTCTCCCTAAAAATTGAGAAATCACAAGTAAATATTCCATCAGCTTTGTCCTCTGCAGTATGAAAAATTGCAAAATTTGACCTTTGCAAGGAAGTGCTTGATTACTTCAATTGTCTTTTTTCTGCACCTTCCACATCGTTGCAGTGCATTTCTTCATAGGATCATAGCATGGCTTGGTTTGGAAGGGACCTCAAAGCTCACCCAGCCCCAACCCTCTGCTATGGGCTGGTTGTCCCACCACATCAGGCTGCCCAGGGCCCATCCAACTTGGCCTTGAGCACCTCCAGGGATAGGGAACCCACAGCTCTCTGGGCAGCCTGTGCCAGGGCATCACCACACTCTGAGCGAAAAAAATTCCTGCTGATGTGCAATCTAAATCTCTCCTCTTTTAGTACAGAACCATTCCCCCTTGTCCTGTCACCATCAACTTGTGTAAAAAGTTGATTTTCCTCCTGCAAATGTTGTTTTCCCCTCATTTCTTGAGATGAAAAGACAAGATGCACACAGGCCTCAGGGCATGGATGCGCCAAGAGATTTTGTAGCAGCAAAACCCTACCTTCTGCTCTGGTTCCCGTGCACTTCCTTATGACACTTGCAGTTTTCTTTTCAGCTTTTTGGCTTACTCTGCCTGTTGAGGCAACAAACACCTCTTAGCAATGATTGCAGGACCTTTTGTGAGGGCTTTTTCTGAGTTTAGAATCAAGTAAAGTTTTTACTAACAACTGGAGCACCTTTTGTTAGACAATCCTTAAATTTAGCTGCTTTCATTTCCTGTTTATGTTTCACATGCCACGTTTTTCTGGTCTTTCCTATTTGCCTCACCGTAGCCTCCTTTACTCTCTCACTGAGTCATGCAGGAGGGTTTGAAACAGCGTTTCCTATTTGTGTCAGGCGTTTTACCTGGGCTTCTAATGCAAGATTTTTAAGCCTTCTTGGTGCCTTTAGGCTACTTCCTTTTGTACTACTTTTTAGGTGGTTGCAGGGTTGGGGTTTTTTTGACAACTTCTTCCCCATTTTTACGTAGTTTGTTTTCTTAAAATTCAGCATTTGTTTGCTTTATTTGCCTTGCTTTCTGTTGTTACACCATGCAGCTTAATTATGTTGTGGTTAACATCAGAGAGCACCTCTCCCACTAATAGCTCTCAAATCAGATCCTTCTGAAGACTAAATTCAGAGCTGTGTTTTTCCTTGTGGCTTCCAGGGCCAGTTATTCTAGAAATAAGTTGCATCCAGAAATTCTATCTCTACATTTCACCCTGGTGAGGCACTGACCCAGTCTGTACGTGGGTGGTTGAGCCCTCCCAGTATGTGTCCTAAATGTGCAGCTCCTCTAATCTCACTTAATGCAGCTGTTGAAATGAATCAATGTGGGGAAATGAGCAACCTCTCAGCACAGCTAAGGCTGATTTGCATGAGTTTTTCAAGATCAAAATCAGCACCTGAGTCGCCTGCAAAGTGCAGTATGGTGACTGGAAGCTTAGTGTGACCTGTGCGAGACACATTCGTGCATTAAACCCTGACCTGGCAGAGATGGGTAAAAACAGCTGTAGTAGTGAATTCTTTGCCATCAGATTCAGCTTGATACGCAGGTGCAATCAGGCTAGCTGAAGTTTTCATATTGTCTTATGCATAGAGTGTGTTGTGTCCTTCTGATGGGGAAGGAGCAAAAGCATTCACTAGTATACTTCAAGAGACAGTGCTGTTTCAGTTCAGTTACTTGCACAAAAATGATCCTATGGCTGTGTTTTGGAGGCTCGTGCTTCACACTACTGCACTGCTTAGTCTGTTCAATAACATCCATATCATTGTTTCTTATATAAAAAATATGAGAGCAAAAGCAAATTTTGTATTTTTTTCATCTAGAAACTTTCCTAAAATTCCTCTGACCTGAGAGCAATCAAGCTCTCTAATGGAAGGTCACATCCTAGACGCAAGAAGATGGATGTATCTGAAAGAAGAGGATTTCATACGGTTCCTGGACTTCTGCAGCTCTACCTTCAGATCCCTGTGTGAGCAGCTTCTCTCATTACTTGCTCCCTCCAGACTCAAGCACTCCCTCCTGTCCTTACACAAAACACCATCCGCATCTGCTTAGCTGGGCGACCAGGAACGTACTGCAATTCTGAGCTGGTCTGGAGCTGCACAGGTGCTGGGCAGCAGCCACCTTGTGGAACAGTTGCCTCAGTCATGCCAGCCTTCGAGCTCAGGAAGCAATTTGGTTCTCTTTCTACCCAGACATGAAATTTTCATGGAATTTTTCACCACTGATTATCATTGCAGCCTCCATCCTATCTCTGCTTTGTCAAATTTGGTCAGAATTGGCCTGAAGGTTCAAAAGTTATCAAGGAAAGAGGGGGGGAACAGATGGATGAAAGAGGAATTGACAGACAGCATGATCTCATAATCCCCGCTGGCATAGGAATTCAGGCTAGAATTGAAATATTTTAGGTCAGAACACTGTGCACTTAAACTTCTCATTTTGAAAGAACAAGCTTCTAATGTGAAACAAATTTTCATTTGTTAGACCATAGACCGGCTTTTAGGGGCAGAGATTAAACAACAGCCTTCCCCTACAAACATGTTACAATTGTATCTTTGACTTTTCCTACAGTCCTTTTTCCCATCCAGCCACAGCCCCATATGCTTCAGTGTTTCCTTCTGCAGCTCCTTATGGGTCAAGAATGTTTTTCTCTGATTCATTTTTTTCTCGGTTGTGTTCAGTCAAAACATAATTAAAGGCTTACCTTACCCTTTTTTTCCATTCCAGGAGCAGTTGTTTTGCATCTGTGTCCGAGCACCAGAGAGGCTGCTTAGATAGCGTGTTGTATTTACAAGCCATTTTATGGTGGATTCCAACAGATTAAGACAGAGACTTTTCTGGAAGGATGTCTGCAAGCTCTGCACTATCCCACCCGTGCCATGTTGCATTTGTTTCACTGCAAAACATGATGTAGTTGTGTCTGGTGCTCACTTGAGAAGCTTTCGATTACCCACTGGCCCAGGCTGTGAAACACATATATAGGCTTCACAGCTGGTGAATATAAACCCTCCCACTGAGATACATCTGTCGTGAAGAGCTCACATAAAAGTATTTTGCTTATTATCGTTTTAGGTTTGGGGTTTGGTTTGGCTAAATAACAGCGAAGATGTAGAAATAAGTTTTTAGGTGGTGTAGCAGTGTGGAAGCTTTTCCATTATGCAGCATGCAGGTTTTTAGCCAGTAGCAGCAGGATTTTAGAGGGGCCCAATGCAGATTGCAGGAGTGCCAGCCACTCTTTGGAAGCACTCTGTTAAAAGAAGATCATTGCTTTAAGCAAACTCAGGCTCTGAATTAAGCACAGCTTTTGAAGTGCCGTGTGAACTGTTATGATAATAAAGCCAGAATACAGAAATTTGGCACCAGCTTGCTGGCTCTCACAGGCACCTGTATTGTCTCTGGAGGAACAGATTTCATTCCGAAACCTTGTGTTCCCAGAAAAGCAGGTCACAGTGATTAGCTTTCTTCAGGCTTTATTGGATACGATGCCATAAGTAGAAAAAAGCACCTATACGATTGGACTGACACTGCTGATGTTATTTAGACATACAATGCACAAAGTTATTCTTTTCTAAAAAACCTGTTTACTCTTCTGGCCCTGTTTTGGATTAAAAGTCCAGCAGGATGGGAAAGCACCAGCCTGCTCCTGCCACCACCTCACGCTGCTCTGCCTCTGCCGTCGCGTTCCAGCTTCTGCACACCAGGGCAGTGACTGCTCTGCACAGCAGCGACACAAAGGAGCAGGAGCTTCTGGAGGCTTGAGGAGAGCTGCTCCCTCAGCCTGGGGAGCTGACACCTTAGTGAGCAAAAGGA